ATTAGCATTATTATTAGCATTAGCATTAGCATTATTATTAGCATTTGCATTAGCATTCTCAACCTCATACTGCAACCTGTGGAAGGATGAGGGGCTTAGAATTACAAGTAAATGTAATTTTATAGTGGCTGTTCAGTATCTTGGCTAGAGAAGGTTTTCAGGAGACAGGTTCTGGTTCCCACTAAGCCATAAAATCTGACAGTTTTTAGAAGAGCTAGCCCTGTTAATCAGTGCTAAAATGTTAGACCAATAAAATAAAATAAAAGACCAAAATGTTGTGGCGCCCTAAAGACTAACTGCTATATTTCAATTGTGAGCTTTCGTGGACAAGCCCACTTCTTCAGTCTGAAAAACCTTGACAGGTGACTTTAGGCTCGTCCTCCTTTCCGCCCTGGGCTGTCTGCCAGGACAGACGAGGCCATGACTCTATGAAGGAAGGGTGGGATCCATGCGAAGTAAAGGAAAGAAACCGCGACCTTTCCAGTGCTTTGCCCTGAAAGCTCTCACTAAGCAGAGTCATCATCAGCACGACGACGACAGATGCTCTCTTCCAGTTCCCCAAGGATCCCCGCCCCACCGCCTCCTTCTCCCGGGGCGGCATCCTGCGGCCCCGCCACGTTTCCCGACCGACCCCCTTGCCAGCCGGGCTCCCATCAGGCGCTTCCCTTCCCCCGGCACCTGTTCCCAGTTCGTCGGACTGAAGCCGCCCGCGTAACGCTCGGGACCGCGGAATTTGTCCAGGAAAGCGTCCATGCTCGCCTCCTCCTCGCCCTCGGCCTCCGCCTTCTCCCGGGGCGGCATCCTGCGGCCCCGCCACGTTTCCCGACCGACCCCCTTGCCAGCCGGGCTCCCATCAGGCGCTTCCCTTCCCCCGGCACCTGTTCCCAGTTCGTCGGACTGAAGCCGCCCGCGTAACGCTCGGGACCGCGGAATTTGTCCAGGAAAGCGTCCATGCTCGCCTCCTCCTCGCCCTCGGCCTCCGCCATGCCAAGTTCCCTTCCCGCCCCAGCGGCCTCAGCAACTCCGCTCCGCCCTTCCGGAGGCGGCTCTTGGAGGATGCAAGGCGGCGGCGGCCACGGGAGGCCCCCCTCGCTCGCTCGCTCCCTCCCTCCCTCCCGCTAGTAACGAGCGGGGAGAGACTGCCCTGCTCCACCACCAAGGGGGTCGTTCCCTCAAAGGGCGGAGGCTCCCATGGGTCGCTCTAGAGATCCACCCTTGCCCTCCGGCGCGCAGCGGGGTTGTCCTTGCCTGTCTTCGATACCTTTTTACGTTCCTAATTCCGACCTTGAATCGCGCGCCCCAACTTTGCGCGGCTGTGTTTCAGAAAAGGGCCGCTCTCTTCCTCGCCACCGGGGGCTAGTTTCTGAGATCCAGTCGTAGCTTTGCTGCGATGCGGGCGGGAGGTCGGGAAAGGACAGCCAGCTGCTGCCAGAGGATGGATGCTTGGGTTTGTATGGCCTCCCTTCCCCGTCTTCCGTCCCCGGGAGCAGCCTTCCTCCATCCGTTCCTGGTGGGACGCGAGGCACAATCAAGGGGAAGGTGGGGCATCTCAAACCGTGAGGTTTTTTTCCCCCTCTGGGTTCCAAGAGATTTATTTAATTAATTAATTAATTAAT